CAGGAACAACAAGGATCGACTATTGTTTGTTTCTCAGCTAGCTTGCTTCTCTCCAGGAGCTGAATCCCGTGTTTGCTAAAGTTGATTGAAATTTTCCCTGGGTTTCAGAGGACGTTGTGTCAAACTGCAGAATGATTCTTACAGCCAAGAACTTAGGCAGTGTTAATTTTTAGCTATTTAGTTATTCAGTTTACTTTTCCTCAAGCCTTGCTCTTAGTGCCTCTCTACACTTCAAGCTTTCAATTCTCTCACCTCCTTTTAGATTTGGTCTCTTAGGTAAATTGCCTGAATATAAATTGTAATTCGCTTTGCAGGCTGGGCTTTGTTTACTTCTTTGCATGAATTCTCTTCAGAAACTGTGATCAGCACTGATCCTTTATTTATTTATGTCTACAGGAAAATATCACTCCAAGAAAAGGATGGAGAGACATAAATGACCCATTTGTTGTTCTATCAAAAGCATTGGTAGATTTAATTTACACCAAAACCTGTGACTGGAAAGTGAGTCCGTTTCTGAGAGTCCACTGCTTCCTTTGTTTCCTTTCTAACTGCACAGCAGATTTTTTGTTTTGTTTTGTTTAAGCTCTGCATAAATTTTCACCATGGGTTTCCTTCCCTGTTACTACTAGCCAGCCCACTGATCAGGCACCAGGGTTGTGTTCTTGCTAAGTTTGTGGATTGTGTTCGAATCGGAAATCAAATATGTGATAACGAACGTAATATGCTTTTAAGTTTTGTGATGTTTAGTGAGTAGATGTACATCACGAAGACCTTTCTTGTCTGCAATTTGTGATGAAGGTGAATCATTCTTTGGGGAAAGGTTATAGTCATGTTGTAAATCACATTTTAAAAATGCAAAAAAACCATCCAGCAGTGATAAATAAAACTACCATCTGGAATTTGAACTGTGTAATTGTATTATGATCTGTCATCCACATAAGATAGGCTTTTGAGAATAAGTTGAAGGTGTAGACACAGAGATATCCAAATCTGTTAATTGCTTCAAGTAGTGAAGTTAAGTGAAAGTAAAAAAATAGGTTCTTTGTGAGGTGGAAAGACTCCTAGAACCGAGAAGATGGAATTCATTGCAGCACAGCTGTATGGGAGTATGTAGGCATTGGGAGTAGCTGTATAGTGGGTTTCACATTGTTTTAAACAATAGGGTTCACTTTAATTACTTGACATGAAAATGAATTTACATCAAAAGAAGGCCTTCAAATGCTTTTTGTGATTTAACTTTGGTTGATGTAGCTCCACAAAGCAACAAGGGAGGCAGATGAACTGTGTATGGGATTGTCTAGCTTTGAGAAATGAATCTCTTCTATGAGTTGAAAAGAAATAGAGATTTCTGAGAAGAGGCATTGGAAGAAAACAAGAAAAGAAAGCCAGCTAAGAAATAGGAAAGCAGTGAAAAAAGCAAAGTGCCTTTAGAAATAACTACTCTGAATCAACATCACATAAATTTCTGCTTCTACCAGCTGCCCACTCATTTTCTCTTTTAATAGAAAGAACCATCTTGGGTTTGAAAAAAGTAGTGTGGGGAGCCATGGATTTACTAGGGAAGTGAGTTTCCTCTCTTAGTGGGTTTTAGCTCGCAACGCTGACTTAGTAACGCATTTGAACTCTTTAGGGTGTATGTTAACGTATCAAAATGGTAGAATCAGCCTTTTACTTTTCCAAGGATGCTTCTCCAATATAGAAGTGAAGCCTCATAATAGCTTGTTATTTCCTTTCTGAATGCATCAGTAATGAAACTTAGTTCTTTAAGAACTCTTTTTACAGACATTCATTTAGTCTCACAATGCTTCGGGGGGGGGCAGTAGTATAATCGTATGCAGAAATCTGGAGCACAAGCTAAAACAGTAAGTGATTTGTCCCATGCCTCTCAACAAGCCCCTTGAGTACAGCCATGGTTAGAACCTGAACAAACCTGGACCTGCATCTTGAGCTCATTGCTCATAGCCAAAGCTGTCTGTCAACTGGGGTGTGTCTAGAGACTGACACAGACACACAGGAGACCTGCAGAATCGGTTTGTTTTCTGAAAAACTGCTTATGTGACTAAAACAATAAGGTGTTTTACTGACATCTCTTATTTCTGTTCCTTTCTTTTTAGCTGGTGTTGCCGGAGTATTCTATCCATAGTCTTTTCTGCATAATGTTTTTGTGTGCTCAGGAGTGGCTCACGCTGGGGTTAAATGTTCCTTTGCTTTTTTATCACTTCTGGAGGTAAGCCCGTCTTTTATATGCTGACTGACTGTTAGCCTTATTTGCCAACTCAGCACACATGCAGATTGTATGAACTATGAAGTGCAGTGATAGGAGTATGGCTGAGTATGTTTTGCCTAGAAGCAGCTGAAACTTATCTTTCCAGAGAAAAAGTAAATATTTTTCATGAACATTTAGGATAGGTAAAGAAAACACATAAGAATAAAAATGTGGCTTTCAGTTACTAACTTAGATAAATATTCGAAAGGGTGTCAGGATGCACTTACCACAACTTAATGAAAACTTGGAAATTAAATAGGCTGGAATATGAAAGTGGAACTTGGTGAGGCTCTAAATACTTCACAGATAGGAAGTTGTAAGGTGGTTCATATCTGAAAGATTGTGTACCTATTCATTCAGCCCTAGCAAGGAAGCCTTTCTATTGGAGTTGTAAAATAATGACTGGGCAGGTTGACACATTTCTGCTTCTCATCTTCTTTGGCAGCTTTATGCTTTTTTTTTTTTTTTTTTTTTTTCTGGTATAAAATAAGTTGTTTCTTGCTGTACAGTATAGAATTTCTGTTCTGCAAGTGAAGTCTCTTTTAGAGACTCTTGGAGTAGGGATTGCAGTAGATGAAGACCTGTTGTCTTCACCCTGTCCACATGAAAAAGTGGGGAGTGTTTTCACTCTGGATCTCTGCTATGTTTGGATATGCACTGAGGGGCTTTCAGAGTTGATCACGTAAGACCTGCCGTTGAGCAGCTTTAATGTGTTCTGGACAGGCAGCGCAGCTGCTGCTGCTCCATCTTCCTCTGTGTTCTAGTGGAGAGTCAGCTTTCTGTTGCCTCTGAAAATAACCAAAAAACATCAGGTTTTGTGGTTTTCAGTCTGGAGTCTTCACTAGTTTTGAATTTCTACAGTGTTTGTGAAAGCACAGATGATTATTGTCTGTCAGGGTCTCTTTGTGTTACAAAGATACATATGGTAGCAGATATCTGCTGTTGTGAAGTAGCTTGAAGAATAATTCTGTAAAGAAGGCAAAACTGTTATCTCAACCAGGAACTAAAAAGTAGCAGCTTTTTTACAGTATTTTCTGCAAGAGCTTGGTAGTAATGCAGAATCATATGATAAAGTGTATTGTTCAGAGGTTAACAGTGCCAGCATAGTTCTCAGAAAGCTAAATGAAATGACCCTGTGAGTGTTTTTCTCCCTATTGGTTGTGTGCAATAAAAATAATAATGTTTTATGGTGCTGTTTTACTAAGGGTTAACAACCAAAATATGACAATAATACTGAGTTAAAAAGTTCTTAAAAACAAATTTAAGAAATTGTATTTTTTGCCCAAGGTGAAAATGGTCAGACTCTAAATAATTATATCAGCCTTTGGTGAGAACTTTTTAATTGTCTGTGTTTCAGTGATTCTCCATATGCTTTGCTATAATTACTCCATAATTTCTGGTGGTTTAACCACAGACAGGTTTGGATTCATTGTGTAAAGTTCTGCACAAAACGATGGGAAGATACTGTGTAATATCTTGATCCCCATGAAGAGAATTAAGCAAGGTTTCACCTGTGCTTTTTGTAAAAGAATTTGTAATGTTACTAGAGATTGTAAGTGCATGTGACTAATATTGAAGGGAGGAAGGCAAAATTGGTCTGTCTGTTTATCTAACTATCTGTAAGCAATCCCAGTGGTCTTCAGTGTTTACGTTACTATTTCAAAGCAACAGAAATAACATTGCATCTGATTTATGCTGATCTTAAAGCAGTTCATTAACTATGTTGAGGTCTTCTGATTAGGTTTGCTTTTGCTTTTTACTGCAAAGCTACTGAGACAAAAGCTCCTTTGCCAAAAAAGTTCGTTTGTCAGGATTTTCTCAAACATCCAGTCATTGCTGAGAATAATTAGAAATTTCTCCTATGTAAGAAGAAAATAATTTTCCAATTAAAATTATTTGGATGATACATTTTTGAGCAGTGCTATGTGTAGAAAACATTAGTCAGCCAGCTCTTGCATTACTCCATATTGACTTTCTTCCTTTTCAGAGTTGGAGGAACAGCTATCAGTTGGTTGAGACTGTCACCTTTCATCATGTCTGAAATCAGTTGTGTAGGTGCAGTTAAAGCCCAGTAGTTCCTCCTCCAAGCTGTGATCACAAGCCGCCATGTATTGTCACTCACAGTGTGTAAGTTATGAGTGAGTAAGCCAGAAATAACTATATAGGAAGGGGGAATGTTTCAATCTGAAGAATTAATAGAACACAGAAATCCACATCCATTAACTACTTGGTTCTATAAGAATGGTCTGCTTAGACTAGTGTCCTGATTTTAACAACATCTGGAAATAGAGGCTTCAAAAAGAGAGGAAAATTCCTCCTATATCATGGAAGATGATTGTCTTCTGAGCTGGTGATCAGGAGGGTGTATATGCACATATTTAATACAGAAAATTACAGAGTCGTTCTAGATGTCTTCTCCTGCTCTTTCAGGTATTTTCGTTGCCCAGCAGATAGTTCAGAGCTAGCATATGATCCACCTGCAGTCATGAATGCAGATACCTTGAGTTACTGTCAAAAAGAGGCCTGGTGTAAGCTAGCTTTCTATCTCCTTTCCTTCTTCTACTATCTGTACTGGTAAGTCTGGTCATTTCATTAAGGAAACAGTAGCTGCTTTTCATTTGACATGTGAAATTGTATTTAGGAATGACAGGAACCAATTGGCCCATTTCCTTAGTCTTACAAAACTTGCTTCTGATCTTGATTCAGGGATGCATGCCTGCTTACAACAGCATGTGCTTATATCTGCTGACACCTCAGTACAGAATATTAGGCACTTATCTAAGGCCTGAGCCAGGCCCCAGGGCCAACCCAAGGAAAAAAATTTTTGCTCCTCTGCATAGTCTCTTAGGATGGGTGAAATAGCAAATGTTATGATAATGACGTTACATAAAATAAAAAAATACAATGTTTTTACGATTATCTTGAATCATAAGAAAAATACTCTGTCTGCTGGTGTCGTGGTGCTCAAGATCCTAAGTAAATGGGTAGGTAGACAGTGGGTAGGAACATAGGGTGCACCATGCCTGTAGTCATTCCTAGATGCTCCCTTTCATGACAGGGTAAGCTTGTGTGTGGTTCAAACCCCTAATTTACATTTTTGAAAATACACAACCCCATTGTGTGTGGTCCCCCCTGCCCCTTTCAGCTGTCAGATGTCTTTAGTGCACAAATGCCTGGTGCAAGAATATGTGAGGGTCATATTTAAGGTAAGGCCTTGGCAGAATCTCTGTGCTTTTAGTCACCCCTGTAATCAGACCATAAAACTACTTGACAGCAAAGGTTAACACACTTTAAATGGAGGTGTTGTTTTATGATGCCTTTCTTCTACTCCTTCTTCCATAATGTATTTGCATAGAGTGCCTCTTCAAGCCAGTCTTGCATGCAGTCATCCCTCTGTAAGGCAGGTTTGCATGTGGGTGGAAGAAGATAAATATTATTTCTCCTTTGGTTACTGGTCTGTTTCCTGTTCTGTTGTTCCCTATATGTTGAGGAGATGTTGCTGCAGGTTGTTGTTTCTCAATATTACTTTTAAATACTATTGAGAACAAAGTTTTCTGTCCACATGTGCATGCGTATGTGCCTATGTCTGCATACATGAGAGAGAGAAAGTAAGTAGAAGGGCCCAGACTCACAGAAGCTGGTAGATGGCCTAAGTCACGCTAAGGTGCATGGGGCCTGAAAATCTGAGCAGGAGTTTAGCATCCAGTAGCTTTGTGCATTTGGGCTGAGCACCTTTGCCCACCTGTCCTCTTCACAGGACTGAGAGTGGAAAGCGTGGCAGTTATGCTAGACAAGCTCTGTTGGTAGTGCAAGGAGGGATGGCAAGGCATGGTGGGAGAGAAGCATTTTTAAGCCCACATTTTTGTGATGGCTAAAAGGCCCTGTCAAAGTCAGCTGTGTAGTGTGGTCTAGCATTTCTGCTGAGACTACTGTTGTGCAGCTTCCTTCGTTCTAAAATGTGGCCATAATCCAAAATCCACTGCCTGGTGTTAAATAAAATGGTATTAATTACATTAAATTTTTCTGTGCTCTCCTGGGTGTTGTCAGAATTGCAGTAAAATGGAGCCGTGGCAATATACTGCAATTTCTTCACTTTTCAGAGTTGCATTTAACATGTATGGATTCACTCCAGCTGGCATCTGCATTTTATGTTTCTTGTACTGCATGGGTTTTTTTCCAAAGGAAACAATGCAGTTTCATGTGAAACCTTGCCTGCCCTGCTGAGAGTTGCTGGTTGAAGTTTTAAAGATCAAACACACTAAAGCAAAATGGTTTTGTTTCTTCACTGTTCAAATTCAGACATCAGACTGCACTTTAATAAGCTCAAACACAGCTTGTGGTGTAGTAGGATGTCGATAATGAATTTGTTATTTCTTGAGTGCTTTCCTGAATACACCATAATTAAGATGCTTTGGAGAGATAGAAAGAATGCAAAGGAGAGCATAGGCCATTACAGTCAGACCTGAGGAACAGACAGTAAAGGGTTATAAAAATCAAAGTGCTCTGTATGCTTCAAAAGGATTCTTTCATATTGTGTCTTTCTTTTACGTTCAGCATGATCTACACTTTGGTGAGCTCTTAACTGAAAGATCATCATTAAAGACTGAAAACAACAAAGGCTGGAGGTGCAAGGACGAGTGAGCCAAGTGATGCATGATTAAAAAAAAAAAGCAAAGAGAGGAAAACTTTGAACCCAAGAAGTAAATAGAGTACATGAAAGAGGTACCAGCAAGAAGAAGCAGAATACCATGGGAGGATGGCTGACTTAACTGTTTATCTCCTGTTTCTTAATCTGTTGCAGTAAATGACTTTCAAAACCCACACAAAACAAAAAACTGCAACAAGGTGGGCCAAGTTACACAACTATTCACCTCTCCAGGAATAATGCTGCTTGGTGTAGTGGATTCATTATAAACTATAGACTCTACTGTCTTCCAGGGAGCAAAGTTTCTTTTCTTAGTGACTGTTCTGGACTGAGGAAGCAGAGGGCAAGATCATTTTACACAAAAAGAACAGCTGTACAACGCATTGTGAAAATGAGCACTGACCGGAGTTCAGACAAGACGAGTGACTGTTCTGCAGGGATGTTCACATGACGCTAACCAAACAAGGGTGTCGGATCTTGTGGAATTGCTTTAGTGTGTTTTTTTTCACCCATAACAATAACAAAAGAATTTGCCATTGCAGTGTTCTGCTTTCTAATGATATGCTATTCCTATAGGTGATCATACAGTATATTTCTGTACTTCATTTGTGGTGCACCAATTAACATACAGTGATACGTATAAATGCATTGGGTTTGACCTAATCATGCTAAGCACTTATCAGAATAGTGTTCCTCTGACTGCAAAAAAAAAAAAGGTTAAAACTACATATATTGAGGAGGATTGTAACATAGGTGTTATATTAATCACAATGCTGGATAACAAAATACTGGACCATCTAATCATGGTCTGTAGTTGTGTTTTGCAGCTTTATTTCTGCTGTCAAATTTAAGCTGAAACAAATGTACAAAATGTTTTTGTTCTTGTATGAGGTTCGTATTTGAAAGATGTTGGGTTTTTATAATTTAAAATTTTTTAATTTTTATCATATAGTTCTCATTTAAATTCATATATGTGGGCTGTATATCTTTATGTATGTATGTATATACAAATACACATCTACGTAAATACTCGTAGTCTATTTATATTTTAGGTTAATCTGTTTGGTTGACAGGTTGGAGGCATCAGGTGTCCAGAACTGCTGCTAAATATATTTCAGCACTGAACCTAGTGGACCAGGGCTGGTCCCCTTAAAGTCACTAAGGTATTTCAATGCAGCCACTGGTGCTCTGGGCAGTAGGCAATCCTGTAAGATCAAGACTAACAGCAGTGCATGGACAGAGCACTCTTGGATCTTCATTGTGAACGGGCTAATAAGGTATGTTGCTACCAGAGATGCTGCAGAGAACAGTGCAGAGTGGCCCATCTGTACGCCACGTTAGTTACAGCTGGTCTTGTTAGCACTAGCTCCGTGTTGACCCTGCCAAATTTGGTTTGGCTGTTGAGAGCCAGTAGATTGTTCCTGTACCAAACTCTGAGGA